CTCAAATATTCCCGAAATTCTGAATAGACACAACAGCTAAAGAGGTAGATTCTAGCCCTTTGACATCCACAACCTCCAATATCCTAGAGCCTTGCGGAGAACACTTTAAGCCCACAGAATTACAATGTCCATGACAATAGAATCTGGATACATGCAGATTCACATTAATGGATGATATCGGTAAAACCAACCACCCTTCTTAATAATAATAATAATAATAATTCTTCACAATGATTAGGACGTAGGCATTTAGGGCTCCCTAAAAACATCTGAAAACACTGTAGGAAGCTCCAGGATCTCTTTCACCAATATCGAACAAGTTTTTAATATTCTTTATTCTTTTTTCTATCTTTCTGTTGTCCTTAGTCTTTTTTCCCGCACATTGATATATCCTGAAAGTATAGATTTTGATATATTTTTCCAAAATTCTGTAGCATTCACCAGCAACACAAAGTAAGCTCTTCAAAGAGCCGTATATATATATATATATCGTGAAGTCCTGTAGCTCAGTGGTTAGAGCACTCGTTTTTCAAGCGAGAGACCTGAGTTCAATTCCAGGCAGAGGGCGAAACCTTGGGCAAGTTTCCTTACTCCACACGCCGAATAATAATCCCTCCAAAACCAAAATCAATAATAAATTGGTCATTTTCAATTTACGACTGTTTGTGGGACATTGCTGTGCGCAATTGGCTGCCGCGTTCGCCCACAAATATACAGTCAATTCACTTTATAGTATGTTCTGTGAAGCGCTTTGGGACATCCGCCCGACGTGAAAAGCGCTATATCAAATGCAAGGATTATTATTATTATTATTATTGTATATATATATCTCAAACTTGATTGCCTCAGAAAAAAATATGTACTTTCTGTATTACAAAATTATCTCTCCAAACTCAAGCATATTTCAGGTCTTTTGTTTAGCCTTACACAAATACCATATTCTCCCCCAAAAAACGACAAAACCCTCTTAGGAATTTCCTATGTAAAATGAACATTTTGCTTTGCTATACTTCCCCAAATTACAGCATGCAATGTAATTTGCATTATTAACATTTAGCATGTAATTTCAACCCTTATTCTTGTCACATATGTGAAGGGAATAGATGGATTTGGGAGGGGAATTAGTACGGGTGGAAACTCACGTGGAGTATAAACACGAGAATGGAATAATTGAGTTGAATAGCTTGTTTCCCTGCAGTATAATTCTATGTGTCCAGTGTCCTCTTTTCATCTTGCAAATCGTTCTTTCCAAACAATTTTATATTGTAAAGGGGGCCTTCAGACTGTGACTACTTGTTCTCCTGGGTAGAACTGTCACTGTTCCTTGACGTTTAGTCAGATTGTAGTGTTCTTTTCTCTGGGAACGAGTATCCTGACAGCATTATATAATTAATGTGAAAAATATCTTGTTAGATCTCAGTTGCAAAAATGTTCCAGATGTATCCACCCAATAAGCAATCCATCTAAACCTGTATAGCACTCAAAAACATACTACTAATCTTATTTATTGATTCACAACACCCCTCATTCATTAACATACTTGTAACAATATTGCATATTTTCAATACCATATTGTGTCTAGTAAAAACATTAGCTTTCATCCCAGTATTAAATTATAATAATAATCTTTGCATTTGATATAGTGCCTTATCACGTCTTTAAGACGTATCAAAGCCCTTCACAGAATATACCGTAAAGTGAATTGACTGTATAAATTAAGGTTGTTTTTCAGTGTGACTTAAAAAAATCAAGGTAAGTGCACCATATTACAATTTGCGAATTGCTGCCTGGGTAACATTAATTGGATCTAATCTTCTAGTAATTGGTTTAATTGCCACCAACCTGAAAACATTTACCTCCCTGTTAAACCTTATGCTTGTGAAATAGGCACTGGCATTTCTGCCTCCTAACTACATATTAATGCTTGGACAGACGTCTGTTTTAAGCTAAACACTAAACATAGCTGTTTTCTTTACAATGAGCAATGGGTTTTAAAGACATAGTCAAAAAACTGTTATGTTTAGTGATGAACATGAAATTATTTGCTTGATGTTAAGTAGGCATTAAAATTCTTGTGCAAGGGCTATCACCCTCTCAATTTTGCAGAGATAAAGTAATGCAGATTCAGTCTACTAAGCTGGGTACTGTTGCTATGATGCATTGCTAAGGTTTTTTAAGACATGGCAAAGGAATACTTTGGGATATGCAGTGTTGACGTTGAGCACTCCCAGAAGCCAAGTAAAACTCCCTTTACATTGTACAACCATGTGCTTTGATTCCATAAGCACCAGGGTGAATATTTTTCATATCCCACACCAGCCATCCATTAATTCTCATTGAGCAAGATTGCTAATTTAATGCTGAATTGAGGACAGCTTAGCACTGTGCATCCCATCAACTCATTTCATATAAGACTTCTACAGCTGACAGAGAGAAAAAGATTTTCATCTTGTCAGTCGAGCCTTGATCTGAACCTAATAGTGGAAGTGAAAGGATGGTTGGCTTACCCACTGTGTCCTCCAAACCTTACAATCATGATTGATGAGTGCATCGATGGTTTAAATCCATCAGGAACTCTGAATGTCTGGGAGGATTTCTAATATTTTTGATGCTGATTTAATCAGTATGAGAGGGAAACAGCAGGCAGTGCTGGCAATGGAAACAGTTATAGCAGCATGAAAATATGAGTGGATGTGAGCCAATTCATCAGGATCCTGCAGCGAATTCCAATTCAGAACAGCTGATTTTCTAGTTTGCCAGAGAGTTATGGAGAAACCAATGTATACACATAGATATGAAACCTCGTATCTTGTTTCAAGATGTTCCTCTAGTTTTGATTAGTGTTTCATCCACTTATTTATTTTCCAAAATAAGAGTAATCGCTGCATATGATATAACATATGTGACAAGTCTCAAAGTGCTTCATAGATAACTGTTGTTAAGTGACTGTACTTATATTGGATTAATTTTTGAAGTGTTGCTTCAGATGTTAATAATTCTGAGCATCCTGAAATACCCATTACTGTGCTTTATTAGACCGAAACCATTTGTTAATAGAATGGTGAATCGCAGTTGTACTTTGATTTTTTTATTGTTTATTTGCATTACTCACACAGAGATGTGATTATTAGTGACATGTATGACACTTTTCATCTTCTGAGCTGCTCCTAAATACTGTGAATAGACAGCACCTTAGCATGAGGGGGAGGGGTGCAATGTGTATTGTCACAGTAAAATTAGTGTGTTAGCTTTGTCCAGGCTCTTGTCTGTAGTGCTTAAAGGGCTGAAGCTCTTTCTTCATTTATCACCCCACTGCATCTTTTGTGTGGGTAATTTCCCATTGGAATCGCTCTGTATTCTGGCGAATAGCTGACTAGCCCCTTGCTTGTACTATTATTTCCACTGAGCTTGATACATCTGCAATAAATCCAGGAGGATTTGTGAGCGTATGCAAAAAAGAAAAAGTGACTGAATGAACTGATAAGATTTCCAGTCTCCAGAAACAAAAAAAAGCTTTCTATTATTCAAAAGAAATAGAGTCACTGACTCTCAATTGATTACAAACATTTGATCGCATTTTGCCAGATGTCCCTTTGGTAGCAGTGCCGGGGGTGGGGAGGGGGTTGGGAAGAGGGAGTAGAGGTAAAGTGAGGGTAATGATTTGAAGCCTTACTGGATGTTGAATTAGAGAGTTGTCATCTTTGGTCAAAAACTCTAAAGGCACTTTATCCAGGTTTGAACATAGAGTCTTATATAATAATGTGATTGTGAATGTATTATATCATCGCTCTGCTGTCTACTTCTGCGATTACGTGTTTCAACAAACCTTCAAATAAGAACATAGGAAAACAGGAAAAGAAGCGGCCATTCAGCTGATCAAGCCTGTCACTGGATCTTAGCAGTTTTTGGTCTGGATACCAACACTAGGCCACTTAGGTGTCACATGTAAGGTATGGACATGGAAGGACCTGATTATATCTGCATCATACTTGAACTGATTATTCTAGCAACCAATCATTGAACAACAATGTGCAGTTATGTTGAAGTACACAACTAAAGCTTCTATGTATTTTTCTCGTAGTTTATATGAGAATATTTCCATCTGTGATATCAATCAGTTCTGAGGACATTTATTAATTTGAATTAACATGTACGTTTGTTTAATGACATGCACTGGTACATGACAGCAACACCACATCACACGACAGCAAACAATCAGCTCCAACAGTAGAACAATGTGGATAAGAAGCCTGATTTATGTTTCCCACCCCTCATCTCACTTATCAAGATTGTAGACACAAACCACCCAATATCAGAGATTTGAGCATGTGAAACTAACACATACACAGAGCCCTGAAGTCAGGTTTTAGTGTTTAAATATTATTAAAGAAGCAGTCATGCAACGGTTGTTCCATGTTGAAAAGTGGTTCCTTGAATGTTCTTGGGTCATCTAATCGACCACTTGAAAATTTTCAATGGGCCAGAATTGATTACCACATGCTGTATTTGTGCCTCAAAGGGGGCAAATTGAAGTACTGCTTCAACTACTTTATCAGGACAATTTGCTTCTGAATCGTTCTGCTCAACCAAGTGGTCAAAAGACTACCCACGAGGCAGATTGTGTCAGGAAATTAAAGAGGGAATTAGATAGCCATTTTTCTAATAAATCAATTGAACAGTGTGAAAGATAAAGTAGCGTGTGTGTGTGTGTGTGTTTTTACAATGGTCTTTTTGTTCCTTTACACTCGTATGTTCATGCGGTTTAATCTCTAATCATCACAAAGCATGAACACAACATTCATCCTAACGTAACATGTAGGAGAAGGAGTAGGCCATTCGGCCCTTCAAGCCTGCCCCTACTTTCACCGACTCCGAAATGATTTTGTTATCTCATTTTTCCACTGTTAATAAAGCAAGGCCAGAGACTGTGGTGAATAGATGCTGCTTATGGATACCGGCAGAATAGTTCATGTAACTCGATTCTGAAGCTGGTTACTTACTCTAGCTTTGTACATCCTCAGCTCCAGAGCTTTGAAATCCATGTTGCCAATCAGAGACCTCATAAAATCACTGCAAAAGACCATAAGTAAATTTTAGTATCAAATATATTGTTTGGAAGAGCTGCAGTCAAAACGGCCAATCCTCCTAGCTTTAATTCACCCGTCCACAGATACAAGAAAACAAATGAATAAGGGACAGCTAGACTGTGATAATAGAATCAGTATTTGAAAGTTCAGTTCTCATAAGGATTTTTTGTCCATGCATACTGTTGCCCATTCCACTATCCACACATATTAAGATCATTCAGCTTTATAAAGTACCTGGTCTAAAGCAAACACCAGTGAATCCAGTAAAGCTGGCCGACAGAAAGCAAATATGCAACTAACTTTTGTTCCACATCAAAGTTCCCTGTATTCAAACACCACAATATTTGCGTGTAGAATTTGTTCAACAGCCAAATAATACATGACTGAAATTTCATGCAAAGAAAGAACTCGCAATTTTATAGTATTTCTTCAGTCAAAACGTTTCATAACTGAGGAGTACCCAATGGGGTGAAATATTTGGCATGTCATGGCACATTCCCAAGGAACTTGTCATGGAATGATGCATACTTCATACTTCACCTCAAGCTTCACCTCGTGTATGATAATATGTGTATTATGTATCATTGTATTGCAAAGGCCTCAGTGAAGCTGATACGATAAAAAAAAGTAATAGCAGAAGACAAACACAAAAGATAGCTCACTTTTTCAGAGCCAGCGCAAGTAATACATTTATTCATGTGACTGTAAGGACTATACTATAAATCTTACCTTTGATAACTTTAAGACTAATAGATGGAGTATTCCTAATTTCACTCATGCTCATGTAAATGTAAACTTAAAACTGAGAGTTATCACCTCATGAAAAAAAAGAGACAGGATTGAAGCAGCGCAAGGTCAATCTTTAAGTGAGGCCGTTAACTTTCCTGTAGTATTTATGACCTGATGATGAACAGATCTGATGCCATTGTGATTGCTTACAAGCATTGTGGGTCAAACAATAAAAAGGAGGACATAGACTGAACTCAGTAACGGATAAAACTGTCGGCCACAGTGGCGGGCTTCTCCCTTGCCTGCTGACTGACAATGAAAGGATTTCACCATAATTAAGCAGAAACAGAAACTATTCTGTTTGACCATGCTGTTAGTTGCAACGTGTGGCATGACAGCGGTCAGCCTTGATATGTCTCCACACTAATGAGCTCTGAACTGACTACTAAACAGGGAGGTAATAGGCTCTGGGCCATTAGGAAGCCTCCATGTTTGAATGGCTGACGTTTCCTTATTGGTGTGCCAGCTTTAGGAAGCAACTGGCAACACTTTGACAAAAACAGGGACGACAGAAAAAGTAATGATCACCCAAGAGAAATTAATTGCATTTTGTGAGGAATGAAAGACCCCAAACAAACCAACATGCCAGTACAAGGACTGAGCATAAATTACTTGAGCTCATCCAGAACAGCCACCAACTCTTCACATCCTACTTTGTCTATTAGTGGCATCAGTCTGAGTACTGGAGCGTAAAAATACAGCGTGCGGAGGGACAGAACAATGGAGTCTGGGTTATCACTGTGATCGCAGTGAGGTGACAGTCAAAGCCAATTTCAGGTTCAAGGTGCAAGAGTTCAATTTCCTCGGGTTTGCTCAAAAGAACTCCAAATTGGCCATTTTCGATCCAGATGAATTTGCTTGGGGTATGAGAAGAATGCAAATGGTATATATTTCAAGAAGAAAAATGCTAAATAAAGCATTTTGATCCAAACTAGCAGTAAGTAGGAACTTGGTTATTAGTCGATTGGCATATCGCTTTCCCGGGGTAATAATCTATTAAAAAAAATCGGGTCACTCAATCAACGACTGTTTGTGGGACACTGCTGTGCGTAATTAGCTGCCGCATTTTGCCCACAAAAATACACAGTCAATCCACTTTCAATATATTCTGTGAAGCGCTTTGAGACGTCTCAATGACGTTATAAGGCACTATATTAAATGCAAGGATTATTATTAGTAGTAAAACAAGGATTTCGTAGTGCGTAACACAACAAAGTCTACAAACAAACCATGAATAAATACTGCAATTGCAATAATAGTCACAAAACTATATTTCCATTATTAAGTCATACCACATAATCATGTTTTGAGGGCACAGTATAAGTTGGGATTTACAGTAATTGAAAGGGCGTAAATGGTACTATAGGAGTTTCCTTTTCTTGGACACCAACCGCACCTAGCAGTATGATGTTTATTTGAAAAGCATTTCCTCTGTATCATTGGTTACTGCTTAATGAAAGCTCAAAAGCAATTCCCCTGCTCACCAATTCCCTCGTCCATCCCTGTAAATTGATATCGCAAAGCACCAAGTGCTAACAATGCTTCAAACAGTCAAAACTCAGCCTGTGTCATGTTACTTACTCCCAAACCTGTATTAATAATGAAAATGAGTGTGGATAAATGACCACAATTTCGAAACACTGCAATCCAGATTCCCTGCTTGCTGTATAAAGGCAAATTATTTGTTTTCTGTATAAATCTTCCCCAAAATACACAGTGTAAATTATTTTGGTGTAAAAAAAGCACATATAAAAGGACTTAAGTGGGAGAATTTGATGGAATGCAATTTGGTGCATTCTTTGATATCAGGCCTGAAATTTCTGTTGACTTTCGCTTTAAACCCAATGCCTTAAAATGTAGACTATGCAGAATTTTGGCAAATCCTTAAACCCAGTATTAATTTAGAAGCTGTTTTTTCATGGTAATTTTTAAGAACTTTGAGCCTCAGTTTGTTTACTGTCTCGGACTCAATAGCCACATGTGTCATAGGATTCCAAGTACCAATAACTTTCTGGGTGAAAATGTATCTTCTAGCCTCCTTTAATCTGGTTGTTAGTTGATTGGCAGATTGCTTTCCGGGGATAATAATTCCCTTTTTAAAAAAATGTGGTCAGTCAATTCACCACTGTTTCTGGGACAATGCTGTGCGCAATTGGTTGCTGTGAATCCCCCACAAAATACACAGTTAATTCACTTTACAGTACATTCTCTGAAGCCCTTTGAGATGTCTCAACAATATGATAAGGCTCTATATCAAATGTAAGGGTTATTATTATTATGATTATTATTATTATTATGCTCCACTTTAATTCTTCCAGTGGCACCACTGAGTTTGTATATCCTTGTTACTGACTTATCAACCTAAAGAGGAAAATTTTAAATTGGAAATCTGTATGCTCAAACTGTCTTGTAAAGTTATTTTTCTTATAACTCTCGTTTGTTTCTTTTTTAAAGTTTGATTTCCTAATTTGCCATATTCCTTCACTTCGAACCCCTTCTCCTGAAACATCTTTCAAGTCTTCCACTTTTTTTTCTTCCCGCTCCTACTGTCAATGAGCATATTTGTCTAAAAGGGTTTTGAGTGGCTGAAATCTGGCTTCAAAGGCAAGTGAAAACTAGGATGATGCATGTGACTAAGCCAATTGCTGAATGATTACAACATTTTTACATTTATATGGCACTTTTCATGACAGGGGGACATGTCACAGAGTCGCCCGGGAGCTCAAGCTTTAAAGGTGGGGAGGAAGGAGACAAGGCAGACAATTAAAACACGCAACAGCAGAACATTTCTTTTTTTTAATGTTTCTCTCAATTTCTTGCACACTTTTCTTTACATATATTGCAGCCTTCATAATTCCAATCTCTCCTGACTTTGTCAAAGCTTTCTTAAACTTGTCCTTCTGTTCTGTTGATTCTCTGAAGCTTGTGTTGTCTTTGGTCATTCTATTCTATATATGTCTTTCCTAATCTATTCTGCCTGATCTCTATCCATGACTTCCCCTAATCTGTTCTGGTTGATAAAGTTGCTTATCTTTCCTGACCTCAGTTGTTGTACCTCTGGTTGTGGTGTCATTAGATCAGCTCTGACCTGTCTATCTCCCTTCTGTCCCTATCCATATCTTTGCTTTTCCCAGGACAAGATACAGAGATTTGAGTGTGGTTTACACCTTGTCTTATAATTGTTATAGTGAGTACTGAACCTTGGCATTTGCTGGACAATTAGCTTGACCCTGGCTTGATCCCGGCGCAGGCTGGCTTAGTCAGATATGAACTAAATTTTTGGTCTACATAATCTGACATTCTGATACTCCACACCAGTACAAAAACCTCAACCCCAGTCTATGTTTTAGCTTCATGTAGAGGGCCTATTTCTCCATAGACTTCCATGTGTACAAATAGCTCAGTGATTAATTCAAATGGATAGGAATCGTATTACTTATAACAGGCCCACTCAATTAACACTCTTTATGGTTGGATCTACATGTGTTAATATTCAGGTCTATGACACATCATTATGAAATAAACATCATTATTTCAATATTTACTGAATTTATTGTAATGGGTAATGTTTGAAGCTCAGATGCTATTTCCACTACAGCCTACAAATAAACACTTAGCAGTAATGACTGCAGAGTACTTTGAACCAATTTGATGCTCCAAAGATTATTAATACATTAAAGTGCTACTAATGAGGAAACAAAGTACAAAACCTCTTTCAATCATTGTACTCAGGAGACAGGTAGATTTTATATATCTTTCACAACACTTCACATTCAACACAATTTACACTGCAACCTTCTGGGATCCAATACCACTTCAATACAATTTTTATTACATTACATATAATTTAGCCTTAATGGGGGTCTATTCTGAACACTTGTTAATAAACAGTTAATAGATGAATTGTGACATTTGCACAGACAAAGTAACATATCGCTTAACTTTGTTTAAAACATGTGGTCCTGATGCTGTCATTGGCTTCTCCACGTGTAAAGGAATTGTATTAATTCCTTTAATTAAAAGTGTCTCAAAGTGCTTCACAGAATAGACTGTAAAGTGAATAGACCATATATTTGTGGATGAAATATTATGAATGTTTAATTCCAGGTATGGTGAAGGATCCTTCTGAAACTCTAAACTTCTTTCTATTCCAGATATTAAAGAATCTGCTGAGTATTTCCAGCAACTTCTGGTTTTATTTCAGATTTCCAGCATTAGTTTTTAACATTTTGGCTTCTCGGACTTGCTATTCAGAGGAATCACTTTTACTTATTGACGAACAAGAGGGTCATATGTAGCTTGATGTCACATTCAGCTCCATTCCCCGTGGAGTGAGAGGACAATTTGGGCCTGAAATCTTGTAGAGGCCCCAAATTCACTGTCACCTTCCTAAAGACACTTGCAGCCACAGCTGGAACCATGGGTATAAACAATCAAGGAAACTTTTTGCGGCATGTGAAAATGTCCACATTTACACTTATGTATCAGTAAATAAAAATAGTCCAGGTTGTTGTTTCAGAACAGAAGCCTAGAAGTGAAATACCGTCAAATGGATCAATCACAGCAGCATATGGCTGAACAACACAACTGAACATGTTGTAGCAAAGGAAACAGAAAGTAATTATTGTGGTTATATAATCCCACTGGGTCACTGAGGACAGCCTGTCCCTTGTGACCACACTATTAAATCTGCAGAATACCTGATTGGAACAATCCGATGCTTATCATCCATTCTTCTTCATTGCCCTGAGGTATTTCCCAGGCCAGAGTGGGTTGAAATGCTTAAAAACAGATGATTTGTGGCTTTTAAATTCAGATTTTAACACTTTTTGAATTTGAAATGAAAGAAATGAAAGCCTATTCATACACACTAAAGAGCTGCTGTTTGAGAAAGAGCTCACAGTACATAGTCTAGAAAACCCATTCAGACATTTTTTTCCAATTAATAAATCTCATGTATCCTTCCATTGTTTAAATGACAACTCCAGGTTTGAAACAATCAACTAATAAAAAAAATACACTCTGTGATAACATACATTCGAAAAAGGTGAGATATAATACACATTTCTATAGCACCTTTCACTTTGAGAGGACATCTCGAAATGCTTAAATACATGTAGATGTTGAAGGCCAGGTATATCCGTGAAGATTAAGTATGGTCACTCAAGTACCATCTGTTTCTAAGATGCACACAGACAATGTTTACACAGCAAATATCTTCTGCTAATTCCTTTGCCTCCTTCCACAATATTTAAAGTAAGGGGATAGTAATTGTGAAATCATTTAAGGAATCCCAAGCATTCAAAAGGGAGGTGTTATGTTCATCAGTAAAGTGATTTGGACCAGCAAATAGGATATTTTTTATGAAAGACTACTCTCATGGGCTGAGGAGAGCTTCACTAAACAACACTGAAGAAGTTCAGTGTTATTGAAGAGCTAAGACTGCTATCAGTTCTTTAACATTAAAAATCTTAAGGATATTCAGATCAACAACAACAACAACAAGATTACATTTGTATAGCGCCTTTCATGTCGGATCAATAACCCAAGGGCTCTTACCTTCAATAATTATCTAAGAAAATAATAAGTTTAAAAACTCTTTATATTGCAGTTGATTGCATGGATTCCATTTGGAAACAATTTCCTGAGGTGGTATCAGGATCAGAGTTTGGAATCGAAGTATTTAAATTGAAGTATTTTAAACTTGAAATATATTAATTATAATAATAACAATAATACTAACCCTTGCATTTGATATAGCGCCTTATCACGTTGTGGAGACGTCTCAAAGTATTTACAGAACATATTGTAAAGTGGATTGACTGTGTAATTTATGGCATTTAGTGTTGGATGGTGAAAACGGTGTTGCATCAATGCTAACTGTGTAGTGTAAATAGAACATTAAATATGCTGTTGGACATAAGCATTCTGTTAAATGGAGATACTGTCCCTACATGGTACTGATGTCCTTTTGTGTGGGGCAGTGTTCCAAATGTGACAGCTTTTCTACATCCAAAACCAATCTAAATCCCTCCCCCCCACCACATTAAAAAAAAGAATTTTAAAGCCAGCAGCAATGAAACAAGAATATTATCCCAAGACAGGAAGAAAATGCATCATTCAAGAACTCTGCATTCAAAAGCCAAAATTATACATTTTGCTGATAATATAATATAATAATCCTTGCATTTGATATGTATTTGATATATATTTGATATGCAAGGTCCGTCCAGTTTGCCTTCCATCTTCCTGGCAGTCGTATGACATGTCATGTCCCAAACTATATATTGTATCCTGAGATATTTCTGAACAGAAATCTATCTAATTTGTTCTTAAAAAAAACTTGGGCAAGTTTCCTTACTCCACGCGTCTAATAATAATCCCTACAAAACAAAACAATAATAAATTGGTCATTTTCAATCCACGACTGTTTGTGGGACACTGTTGTGCGTAATTGGCTGCCACGTTTTGCCCATAAATATACGGTCAATTCACTTTACAGTATATTCTTTAAGCGCTTTGAGACTTCGAGAAGACGTGAAAAGCGCTATATCAAATGCAAGGATTATTATTATTATTATTATTGATGTAGCGCTTTATCACATCTTCAAGACGTCTCAAAGCACTTCGCAGAAAATACTGTAAAGTGAATTGACTGTATATTTTGTGGGCGAAACGCGGAAGCCAATTGCGCATAGCAGTGTCCCACAAACAGTCATGGATTGAAGGGATCAATTTATTCCTTTTTTTGTTGAAGGAATTATTACTCCCGGAAAAGTGATCTGCCAATCGACTAACACTGGCCATATGACTCCCAACTACAGTGGTGCTCTAATTGTGTTCCAAGCTCTTTCCATTTTTAACTGTATAGCTATAGACTGAGTGAAGATTAATGGAAGGCTTGTCACAGGGGATGAGACCTATGCATTTATTTAAGTGAATATAGCAACACTCTGGGTGTATAATATCCGTTAATTACATTGATTCTTGAAAAGATCAGTTCTCTCTTGCCTGTTCCTGTTCTCCTGTCATCACAGAGTTAAATTTATGAGTACCAAACACTCTATGATCACAACACTTACTCCAGCGCTGCTATTTTCTGTGCCAGGCTAGCTATCACTGCAAAGAGCCGAAAGTCTGTCAGGCCATCTGTCACATGATAATCCGTGATTTCCAAAATCTGGAAAGAGAAAGTGACTGCTTTTAAAAAAAGGAGATTGTGAAGTTAAAATGAAAATAAGTGTAAGAAAAAAAATCAGTGAAATACACACATTGGATACACAAATACCTCCTGGCATCTCCGTATTTTCTGCCTCTTATAACTTCAGAGATCTGGATTATTTTCTCAATCTTCCTTTTATCAATTAAAACAATTCAGCCCTGTCTCTGTCAGTTCCTCCTCATAACAAAGACTTCAAAGTTTCAAAATTATCAACATATCATTAACAAATATGATAACATTTCCTGTTTGTAATGCCATCAGACTTTTTCCATTGATCAGCACCATCTGTCTCCAACTGCTAATAAAGTTTATAATTGAACTTGTCAAATTAACTACAATTCCATGAGCCTTAACCCTGTTTTAAAAGGTTTTCATGTGGAACGTTAAATCTTTAAATATATATTTTTTTCCATCTCTCATAAAAGGATTCCAATTTTATTTCCTGGTTCAGCTTCCCACTTATTCCTCCCTAGCGCCCCTTTTATCACTCCAAAGTTAAGACTTTTAAGGTCATGTACATCTACATTAGTTTTCAACTTATCCTTTAATATCATGTACCAATGTTCACAATGGCAAACTACACATTTTTAGCTGGGGAATCTCAAGTAGTACCTCCATACTTTGGAGTCCCCAAGCCTTGGCTCTTGCCAACCACCACCCAATACTTTCCAAGATTAGGTAAGCAGAGAGTGTATTCCTATCCAGACAAAGGGAAATTTCCACACGTGTGGAACTCTTAGTCTGCTCTGGATACCCTTAAATATGACAATAGATCTCCACTTGTGTCAGACGCCCAGCTAATCAAAAATAATACAGCATCACATCTAACTAAAATAATCAACTATTTCCAGGATATTGGTCAGTTTTAGTGGGTTCTAAACACTGAATCCAATGTAAGATCTGTGCTAGCATGTTGTTATGTCACATTGAAGAGAAAGGCACCATTACCTTGTTTTAAGAAAAGTGTGTTAATACATTCAACAATAAAGGTTCAACAATAATGCTACTGAGCTTTTGGTAAATTGGAAGGGGAGGTTAGATGCATCAATTGTCTGCTCCTGCCTAATACTTACCATGTTCCTATAACTCTGTCCCACTCCCCCGCTCTCTCTCATAGCCCTGCAAACAATGTCTGTCAAATACAAAGTTATGTCAATGACATCTGAGGATTGAACTTTCAGACTTAAAAACATCCCTTCACTTATTTGGAGCCTTTTAGTTCCATCCATTTAACCCTTTCTACGTCCTCCACTCTAACTCTCTGAGCTCATGCGTGTTGCTACCCAGCTTGAGAAACTCTATTGAGCATATATGCTGTACAATTTGTATGCTGTCTGCTAAAAGAGCATTCACCTGTTTGAACAGATTTTCTCTCAATTCCTGCTCTGACAACATGCTGTTAATAACATTAAACAATGGAAAACAAACATCCTCTTGAATGAAAGAAGGGTGTTTGTTAGAAGCACATACATGAGCAACTAACAATCACGCAAGCTAATTACTAGTTGAATTCACCATGCTTACACTGGAGTAAATCACTGGTAAATCATAGGTAGTTGAGACCATAGGGGTAATGCCCCCAACATTGGTAAAATGACTAACCTTAGTGATGTAAGCATATAATGGAAAAATAAAAGATGGATAAATTTACAGGCAACCAAAAATTTATTTTTTAGATTTATTTTTAACTTGGTATTTTAAATTGTTATTTGCCAATGGAAGATTTTGACTTAAAAAAAACTCAAAGAAAGAGTAACTTTAAACTACACATTGTCCCAAAGCAAAAACGTTTTTTTTTAGCATACAAAAAAAAAGCCTTGTTTGATTTTCCAAACGTAATTCAATTGATTAATCCAGGATAAAGCGTTAGCTTTTGTAATGTGACAGCAATAAACCTACTGTACATCAAACGAAGGCAAGATGTAGTGGAAAAATACTCCAGGTGGACCAGATGTAATCTTACACCTAATCTTCCAAGGCAGCTTTTACTGAGTACTGAGGGCAAGTCAGCCAATGAACTGAACATCAAATTCAACCAAAGATCTATTTAAAGTGAAAGAGAATTATCCAATTCAGATTTTTATAGTGCTGGCCATCATTTTACGCTCATCCACTCCAATTTTTAACTCTCTTCCACATTTCTCCAATCCTACCCTGAAGCAGACAGCTTTTGCTAGGACGTGAGCAATCTGGTATCTCCCGTAAGCATAAGCATGACTGAATCACATGAGAGATACAGATGAAGAAGGCCCTTTGACAAGTCCAATTCCATCCTTCCAGAATACCCACCTTACCATCCCATTCAGCATCAAACTGTTTCTTAAATGAGTCCACTCTTTACAATTGAATGCTGTACAATTGAATACTGAGCTGTGCAGGCTATTTAACTCTGTGGGAGTCTTTGCATTCAAGCCAAATTCTGTCCTCACCAGACATTCATATTTGCACACTTCCAACAAGCTTTGCCTGAACAGCAATCGGGAATGTAGCTTAGTTTTCTCTCTCTCTACTATAGGAACACAAAGACCAATTGTGCATTCGCACGCACAGCTAAATCAGTTGCGCTTGACTTCTGCTCCTATGCTACATTAATATTAATAACAATAATAATAATCCTTGCATGAGCATTTCTTTCCCAGAGTTGAATGTGCAATGTGCTGTGCCATACAATACAGTTACAACACAGGTCAGAACCTGTGATTCCAAACAAGGCGAGTTCCTAATCTGACTGAAGATAAATTGTGTTGAACTTCTTTCTAACAGTGAGGGACTATCAAAGGATGATAGTTGATGTCATATTCATGAGACACTTCTATGTATGTTTTAGAAATCTATTATTTCCTTCTGTAGCCAGTTGCTTCTGATTTTAAAGAAGCTATAATGTGTAATAACATAATAATAATTAATATTATTGATTTATGGTCAAAAGCTGTGTATTAATATTTATGTACCTCAATAGAACGTACTTATTGGTTAATTTTGTAGGAAGTCTATATTTGTTGAAATATTCTAAAACAAATACTCTTATTGTTCCATCAGTATAAGCAATCAAGTCTTAAATACATCAACACACTCTCCCAGCACCAACTTTTTAATATGACTTTACTTGTTATCTCTCCTAAAAACTGCAGAAAAATCCCAGTTGATATTCATCGGTATATCCAATTAAAACTTTGGCTTACATAAATAGGAGACAAATGTGGATTATCAAATGGATATCAAATTATCAAGTACCTCAAGCATTATCTTCAATTCAGGTTGATATAGCGACTTAGAGCACCTGTTGATTACACGTGAATAGCACAAAAGATACCCAACAATAATACCCAACAGACACAGGTAGGCCCTTGCAACAAGCAATTCTGTATAAACAGCAGTGAAAAGAGCAGACACTCAGCAGCACAGGCTGAGCCTGAATCCAATTTTCCTCAACAACTAAAAGACTATTTGATTACAAAACGACAGTTCGGCAGCTGCATTAATACAATTACCCTATAGATGTATATTTCTTCTGCATCAGTAAGTTCTCCTGCTGGAACGATTTCTTTCAGTGCCATTAAAACCTCAAGACAAGTCAAATATCCATCCTTATCACCATCTACCTGTAGAGCAATTCAGAAACATAAAGAATAGTCAGTAGAGTCTTGGCAGGGGAGAATGTACAAGTACAGTTGAGCAGATGTGGAAGTGGATTACAAAGTATTAGTTTTAGCTGTGTTTACTTAGCCCAGCTTTTGTCAACTATCAAACCAATCCTACTCATGTAATTTTATTGCCATGATTAGTCACTGCAACTCAGTGAAAAAAACATTTAACCATTAAACTCTCACACTTCATGCCACCTACAAAAAAAGGATAATTCATCAATAGCACTGAGATACAAACTTCACAAGCGAGGCTGCCGAGATATTTCATGATTGAGGAGGTAATAATAAAAATAATAATGCTTGCATTTGATATAGTGCTTTATCAGGTCGTTGAGCCATCTCAAAGCGCTTCACAGAATATACTGTAAAGTGAATTGAGTATATATTTCATGGGCGAAACGCGGCAGCCAATTGCACACAGCAGTGTCCCACAAACAGTCGTGGATTGAGTGACCAATTATTTTTATTATTTATGATCATTATGAAAAACACAGAATTAAAAGGAATCAAATATTTTTTTGTGGGCTTTAAAGATTGGATTTTAATAGCAATTATTTAACAATTCTGGCTGTATATAACTTGAAAAAATAACTGGGGATTTTTTTTGTCACAACATCCTTATCTTCTTGTTCAGGACTGAAAAGTGTAAACATCAGCAGGAAAATCGATTTCATTATACGTACAAGCTTTGAATAATACTTTAACCAACTAACTCCAAAGCAGTGTTTTCTAATTAAGATTTTATCAGTTGAGTTGGCATGAAACAACAACGAAATAGCCGGCTTCATTAACGTAATATATTAGCCTGCAAATGTTATGGTGAAAGTTCAGTTTTTCATGCAGCTCAGGTGATATTTTTGTGCATTAAATTCCTTTTAACCTGATTGTGAACTCGATATTTTATTCCTTTTAATTTGCTTAATGGTTCCCCATTCTAAGTATTGTGCACAGCACAGGCTTATCACATCTGAAGAGAAAAGCAAAAAAGTGAATCACTCCTCTGAAGAAGTGTACAGTCATTCTAATGTTACATAGGTTGAATATGCAGCAGTTTCTAATGAGATTCCTTAATTAAGGAATTAATGAGTTAAACTGGATCAAACTCATTTCGCATGAGACCATTTCGTCGAGGCTTGACTGGATTTGACTCCAGGAAGTGGAAGCAGAAGGGCAGTGTAACTGGACAGGGAACCAAATAGTTCCCTATACAGTCTGACTCCATTATAATGTGATGGTTTGAATCCCTAAAATTGGGACACTACATGTAACTGGTGAAGGGCAAACTGGATGGACCTTGGTCTTCTTTTGCCTCGCAAATTGTTAGGCTCTTGTGTTCTTAACATACAACTCGTGATTGATTTTTTGTCAATTGGTTTTATGGGACATCACTTTGATATCTGGCTCTTCAAATAATTTGTGCAATTTACTCTATTACTTCATACATTAATAGTAATTACAAACATAATACTTTACAGCCGCATTCACAGAACCTTTGAATTTCATTCCTTTGACTTTATGCTTACCGCTTCAAATGTCCTTTTGTATAATGCCAGCTTCTCTTGATTGAAAATGCAGTATTTTGCCAAAAAGTCAACTGCAAAGAACACAGAAAAGAAAGAGCCATGAGTTGCAGGAACTCTAATCTATTTAGAAATCAATCTAGTAGAAACAAGTTAGCTTTCACAAAGCTTACGATGGATTTACTTCGAATTTAGGAAACGTTTAAACATGGGTGACCTTTAAAAGCTTGTCGCCACCCAGATCCAGCAAAATGAGGAGAAAGGAAATGTTCTGAAATATAACTGGCTTTGCACAGCAGCTCCAGCAACATATTTTTTGCGAGGTGGTTGATCAAACTGGGGAATAACGCTTTAAAACTGTCATTGCCTTTGGGAGGGAAAAGGCTACTATGTAACTTGGGATTCTGGAACAAGCTGCATTTCCACAGCTATTTTTCTCTAAAAAATTGTTTTAATATACCTGTACTTATTTTTCAGAGACCTTCAGGTGTGTTACTGCCTGCAATGGTGAATATAATTGTATTAAAAGGGAAGAACTCAGGTCTGCAGATCATTATCTAGTGAATAGCGAAACGCGGCAGCCAATTGCATACAGGAGTGTCCCACAAACATTCGTGGATTGAGTGACCAATATATGTATGTATGTATGTATGTATGTATGTGTGTGTGTGTGTGTGTGTGTGTGTGTGTATGTATGTATCTGTGTATCTATGTATGAGTTGATTGAAGAGATTATTACACCTTGAAAAAAGATCCACAAATTGAACAAAAACCTGATTCCTACTGTTAGGTAAACAACCTGGTTCCTACTTACTGCTATGTAAAAAAAAACACTTTTATTTTCTGAGTGGTCCAATTTCTATAGAACTATAGGTCAATACAGGACTGATATGTAAACACAAAGTATCCCCTAAGCATTGCTCTTATATATAATTCCCCTTTGCCACTAAACACATCTTTAGTGATGCAATAATTGAAGCACCACCTGATAACATTACTTTCCTTGTTAAATTAACTTGATCCCTGTAGAAAAAGCTGATATCATCCTTTGACAAGACTTGCTCCAAACCTTAAACGTACTTGATTTACCTTAAACATTAGTACAAGGTGAAACAGAAGAAAAGATGGCACGATCTAATGTATTTTATTTAAGTGATCTTTCGGGTCAACAGAAAAGACACTGCGTCTTGAAAGCAATGTATGCGATTCTATAAGCTGAACAGGATCACCTAGGTGTAAGAGCCCTTGAATCTGTATGTGTGATCATCAGTGTACTACTCAGTATGACCAAGTTATTCCCTAGCTTACCCTCATCCCCTCCCTCCCCCCTCACCACCCTTCCCAACTCGCCAAAGGGACATCTGGCAAAATGCGATCAAATGTTTGTAATCAATTGAGAGTCAGTGACTCTATTTCTTTTGAATAATAGAAAGCTTTTTTTGTTTCTGGAGACTGGAAATCTTATCAGTTCATTCGGTCACTTTTTCTTTTTGCATATGCTCACAAATCCTCCTGGATTTATTGCAGATGTATCAAGCTCAGTGGAAATAATAGTACAAGCAAGGGGCTAGTCAGCTATTCGCTAGAATACAGAGCGATTCCAATGGGAAATTACCCACACAAAAGATGCAGTGGGGTGGTAAATGAAGCGAGTTTCATTGCTCTGAAGACTGAAAAGCTGCGATGAGACTAACACACTAATTCCTGTGTGGCAGGAAATCACCAGAAATGTTATGATTAGATATTCAGTAGGTGCTGAGCTGTATATTAAGTGGTTGCCTGAAACCCGCTTAGTCTAACCCTAACATTCACAGCCTGAAATACTGAAGTCCCTTAGCAAGAACCCAAAAAGCTTTTGGTTATAACACTAATCAACAACTTGTCTGCTCCTGTAGTCTTTACTGTGCAAATATTAATTTCCTTCACCTCTGTACTATATTCTGATATACTGAAGCCAAGATTATGGGAGAGTATTTTAGGAGAATCTGAAAGGAGGATTGTTGTAGACAGGACTCCAGAGATTTTCTATGCATCCAATTCGTAGGTAAACCTCTTAATTTTGAATTTAATTGGAACTCTATTGAAATAAGGCCATGAGTGGATCGCTGAACTAGCTCTCAGAATTTAAGACGTTGACATTTGAGGAATGTTTTCGACTGGAAAAGCTATAACTATGTTTGCTTGAGCAAAAAACCCCAAAACGTTAGGAAATGTCTGAGTCTGGTCTTCTTGCCCAAACAAGATACAAACGAGAGAAGGTAACCCATCACTATCCTTGGCAAAATCATGTTAACCTTGGTAAAGATATATTAGCAACATCTTTAGCTCAGGGTGATCCAACTTTTTGGCTGGTGAGGGCCAGCTGCCCTCTTTGAGAAATGTCCACGGGCAGCATAAGCAATATTTTGGTGTTTCCCCTTCAGAAACATAAGATAAAATTTACAGGTTATGGAGCGAGCGGGTCGACTAGATGAAATGGAGGGAGGAGGGCCAGATGCAGTCCATGGGTCTCCAGTTGGACAACCCTGCTTTAGCTGAAAAGTTCCTTCTCTGGTTTGGGTTACCTACAATAAATTATTATTTCCAAATCGTTTTGCCAACCTGGCAAATTAGACCCCATAGCTGTCGCTAAGGAGAATATTAATTATTACAGTAAAAGTTTTCTTAAAAGTTTGCACCACCTAAATAGCATGAGCGCCACCAAGGGGAAAATTGGGCCCAAACATGACTATATGAATAATATTGATAGTAATATTTCTTAGATAATCTGCAGTGAATTTATAATTTCAAATCAATATAATAATAAATAATAATAATCCTTGCATTTGATATAGTGCCTTATCAAGTCTTTGAGAATTCCTAAAGCGCTTCACAGAATATACTGTAAAGTGAATTGACGGTATATTTTGTCGGCAAAATGCATAAAAATCCCATAAAAATTCTATTTCATTTTTAAATCAATTGTTCATGTTAGCCTGAAAAGTGTTTGCATTATTTCTAGATCTGAAAAATACCATACAAAGGTTAATGTAAATATATATTTATAAAATCTACTTCATATAATATAAAGTGGTATAATCCATAATAAGGTATTGAGGGTTTTTATACTTAACAGAGGTTATATCACACCACTTTACAGCATGTCCTGGGAAGTGCTTTGAGATGTCTTGATGATGTGATACAGCATTATATCATATGCCAGGGTTATCATTAAACATGTTCATGTGACATTTAACTGTTCCTGACTTCCCACTAAATCACAGATCTCATAATCCAAGCAGCTCTGTGTACATGACAAAGGCAGTGATACAGGAAACCTAGATAAAGTAATGATTACAAAAGGCATGAGGTGTGAGAACCTGTGGTCAGATCGATAGCTATCCGTGCAGGCCAGCTCCATCAGTTTTGGCTGGAAATAAGGCTGACTTAACACTTGTCCAAGGTACAACAAGAATATCCTACAGAGTGGCCTTTTGAAGCTGTTCTTAATGGCTTACCTGATGCCCCCCTGAGAGCTGTCGGATTGCACACAAAGGCCAACACAGCACATGCTGACGGATGTGACCATAACCAATAATAGTTCAGGAGATTCCATGCCTGAGTTGTTTGGGATTGGTTTAGATGATCATATTTAAGTTGAAGTATCAATCATAGTTATCAGTATATGAAGTAATACTCCTTGCATTTGATATAGCACCTTATCACGTGGTTGAGACATCTCAAAGCACTTCACAGAATATACTGTAAAGTGAATTGACTTAATATTTTTTTTGTGGGTGAAATGTATATGTGTACACCGGGCCACAATGAGGTTATGTGTATTATTTTGGCTCCTGTAGATTCTATGAGGCCAGTTACCTAAAGGAAAGCACCTGTGCAAGTACAACTTCCTATTCTTCTTCGGGGAGCCAACTCTGTGACAGTAGCCATGGAGAGTGGAAAACTGGACAGTGTTTCACAAAGATTCTCGGAAACTGCTTTTAGTTGTGACAGTTGATGAAGAGAACAGCTGGTGTCTCTACTCTCGACATTTCCAACGAAAGGTAAGTAGCATCATGTCACAACGCGGGAGTAAATTAACTGAGATCAGGCTGTAACTGAATAATTTAACAAGTGCATGTTTCAAAATGTTCCTATAAGTGACGTTCAATTCTCATGGGAAGCTTTTCAGGTTATTTTTGGCCTACAGACTGATTTTTTAGAACATAAATTTAGAAGTAGTTTGGTCCAGAAAACATATTCCAATTAATGAATTGATGTCGGAGATAGCTCCAAGCATTGCTCCCCTTTAAGTGCCCATTACTTAAAGTCTCATCTCCAGTGAACACTATCGTGTCATGGGTTTGAGGTTCTACCCTTCTAAAGTTTCTGAAAACAATAATTGTTGAACTCCTTACATTGTTTTCCGGGGTAATAATACCTCCCTCACCCAAAAAAATTATAATTTGGTCACTAAATCCATGACTGTTTTGGGACACAGCTGTGCACAATTGGCTGCCACGTTTCGCCCACAAATCTACAGTGAAATTCACTTTATAGTGTATTCTGCGAAGTGCTTTGAGGCATCTGAAAGACATGATAAGTCGCTATATCAAATCCAGGTATTATTATTTGCCATGTTACTTAGAAATCTGTTGTGCAATTTGCTATTGGAAATAATAATCAGTATAAGAGGAAGGAGTAACATTAGTATAGGATAGAGTGCGGGGAGCTGAGCTTCTCATAGTACAGGTGAGTGTGTGTGCATGTGTGCGTATGTTGGGGGTGGGGGAGAGCATCCAAACACAGTTCACGCCGGAACACAAGCATTTCAAGGTGCAGGTGCAGATCTTCTTTAACCAAGGGCTCAGATATTAGGGAGTGCAGAGAAGACATAAATTGAAGGTAAAAAGAAAGGGCCTGAAGTGCAAGAGAAATAAAATGATCAATAGAGCAGCTGCAAATTCAGTTTTGTCCTGGTCTTTCATTGCTTCCTATTTCTGCAGTGCCGCAGACTGGCTTCATCCAGTAATAACACACGCATAATTTAATCAGCACAATATTAAAAGAACAGATGCACATCACAGACGAGTAC